TTTCTTCATCCCAATTATGATTATTATGAAAATTGAATATACCATCCCTGGTAAAACTAGCTTACTAGAGTTTGCTCTGTTTATAAAATTCATTATATCTCATAAGACAGATAGGACATATATTTATATGACTTTTTTTCATTAATTTTAGGCGTACAATCAGCTCCCGAAGTGGGAAACACCCTATGTATCGTGGCACAAGTTATACAATTATAAATTGGCGTGATTTTTATACTCTGTGCACGTTGCAATAATTCTTTCGTTTCTAAAGAACGAGAGACTGAATCTGAAAGTGAGACGTGAGCGCGGCTCTCGAAAGTTTGAAATCTACAATCTCGAAATTTCAGCTTTTCTCTGAAGCGAGGTCTGAGTCCGGGGTTCGCGAAATGCACGCGAGAAGTCTAGCCAGAGGGTGGGAACGAGACGGGTCCCTCGAGTATTGAGCCCGCAGTCGCGTTAGGGTGAAAATTCCAGACCCACCCCGCGTGGGTCAATTTACAAGTAACGAAAGTCGCTCGCGACACGCGATCAGAAGTTGTTTGTCACGTGATCACAGAAACGAGAAGCCTCTCGCAGAGAAGTCGCCCACTCTTCAAACGATCGAAACTCGAAATATCATGGAGCACAGAGGCTGCTCGAGTATCGCGTCGAGTAAGACGCTCGTGTTACGCACCGCACAGATCGTCTTCGATCGAATAAAACGGCGAAGGTGAGGAATGACAAACGGGACACGTGAAATCTCGACGCAGCTGCATTCTTGCGATCTGCACGAGGTGGAAGTTGACGTCAAAAATAAAGTCAAAGCAACCGCGAGTCGTCGTCGTCAGCGTGAAAACAGCAGAGATCACGAGGGTATCTTTCGAAGATTCGCGCGGCGTAGAAAAAAAAAAAAAAAAAAAAGAAAAAAAGAAGAAAGGGAAGAACAAATATATTTCATCTAACAGGAGGCAATAACTTTCGTTCCAGAACGATTGTCATTCGGAGTGGGTCGACTTGTTGGTTCACCAGCAACGAGGAGTCCCTCTCCATCGCACTCTCCTTGTCCAGACTCTCCTCCGTCGGATCGCCGGGACGGCGAGGTGGACGTGGACGTGGAAGAGGAGGAAGTGGACGTGGACGTTGAAGAGGTCGGTGACGAGGACGATCGCGATGCAACGTCGAGTCCACCGCGATCGTCCACCACACCTTCTCCGACCAGCGTGGCGATATCGCCCACCTCGAATCCACCGAAGAAATCCGGCGACACTTTCAGTGTTTCCGCTCTTCTCAGGCCGGATCCACCGTCGGCCCACTTGCAAAACGCGTCCCCTCACCGAGACACGGCGTCGATCGGCGCACATCCACCTCCGCCTGGATCCTCGATGCTCTATCCGCCGCTTCATCTCCAAGGTGGACTGTTACCACCTCATCCTCATCATCCTCTCTCGTACCTGCATCCCCAACTGCTGCCCCATCATTTGTTACCACCGCACTTGCACCCGCTGCTGCGTGGTGTTCATCCAGGTCACCCTGGCCTGCACACGACCCACACCGCGCACGGGCTCCATCATCATCCTCTCGGGGACGTCTACAGCTGCGTCAAGTGCGACAAGATGTTCAGCACGCCTCACGGACTCGAGGTGGGTTTAATCAGATGAGAAAAGCTTCTGAGAGGTAGCAATTTCTTGATGCATCGTTTAATGCCGCCGGGGTGAAACGCGAGTCTCTCTCTTTCTCTCGTTTCAGGAATTAAATTTGCATGATTGTTTTGGAAAGATGGCAGCAGCTATCGCTTGATATTCGAGGTTACTCAAACTTTGCTTCTCACGTGCGAATTTATCGACTTTGAGAGAAAAGGGATGATGCTCTCTTTAAGAAAGTATCGCGTTGATATTTTGAAATAATATACACACGCGCGTATTCATAGCGAAGATTTTTAAAAGTTCCAACGTTTTGACGAAGAACGTGTTTTTCTTTTTTTTTTTTTTTTTTATAGGTGCATGCAAGGAGATCCCACAATGGGAAGAGACCATTTGCCTGCGAACTGTGCAATAAAACGTTCGGCCATGAAATCAGCCTTACGCAACACAGAGCCGTGCATTCCGCGGAGAAGGTGTTCGAGTGCAAGCAGTGCGGCAAAGCGTTCAAGCGCTCCAGCACTTTAAGTACTCATCTTTTAATCCACTCGGACACGAGACCGTATCCCTGTCAGTTCTGTGGGAAGAGATTCCACCAGAAAAGCGACATGAAGAAGCACACCTACATTCATACCGGTGAGTGATAATTACTCTCTCGTTCAAGATTGAAACGAATGCCGTAAATTCTCAAATACACGATGGAGTTGAAATTCTCTCTGTTCGACATTGATTAAGAAAGTTGAATCTTTCGCAACAGTTCGTACAAAATCGGAAACTGAACGCAAATTTCTGAAATTAAAGTTTCATCAATCGATGAATACGGTTCAGCGCAAAAATTTCTATGAAATGTTGAAAATATTCACGGTTGAATTCAACGAGCGAAATCGTGCTCGTTCACTTTTAATGTCTGCAGTCGCGTGCGCGAGGAATTCCTCGTTTCGGTCGATCGCAATGGGGATGCCAGGGATCAATTAACAGAGCAACTTCGTACGATAAATAATGCAGTTAACCGTCTGGACGGAGTCTTGTCGTAAGCAAGAGGATCGAGGCACATGTGGCCAGTGCAGTTTTAGGGGTGGCGAGCCCCTCATTGCGAGCTTCACTCGGTAATAATCGTAATGCCTTTCGGGGTGCCCATCATTCTATCTTTCTCTTTGCTCTCACGATCTGGCCTGACACACTAGACCCCCAATCTTCGAATGAAATTTTTCTCTGACAAAAGTCCTCGCGTGGGAAACGCGAGCAGATATACCCTTCTATCCTCCAGAAACAACGTCCACCTCGTATTTTTAAAGAAATTCTTAATTTTTCAACGAACCTTCTCACATTTCTATTTATCGAATGTAAAATGTGCAAAATTTCATCTATTCCTTTGATCCGCGTTTCTCGAATATTTTATATAAAATGCAAAAAGAAACTCCTTTCGATCACATTGCCAATTGATCGTTTTTTACAAAGTTTCTTTTTTTTTACAAAGCTCTCTTATTACATATTTCTCGTTTAGTCTATCTCCTGATTCTTAGAAAATAAAAAGTTTCAAAGACTTCGTCAAACAGGGTCACTCAAGACCAATCGAGAATTTTTACATGCGGTGATCTTTTAACGTCGTGTCGGGGAAAACGTTTACCCTGTTCCCTTTCCGTGTTTGCCATCGACAGGTCGCGTCCCTGTCGAAAGTTGAAGACCAACTCATGCAAGGGAGCATCTCTTGGGTGATCGTAGGTGAGTGGTCGATGGTGTTGGGACACTTGGCACTTAGGTGTCTCACGGCTGATGGAGCGATGCTCCTTCAGGAGAGCGGTGGAAGCGAGTTGGAGGAACAGGCGAAGGAGCGTTCCAAGTCGGAGGAGGGGGGCCTGGGTTTTGTATCGTCTCCATGGCAACTCTCTCGATGTCTTATCAAATTATCACCTTGTCCTCCCCCATGCTCCTCCTTCTCCGCCTCCTTGTCGTTCTGACTGTCGTTCGCCTCCCTCTCATTCACCCTCGTTTCGGCGAAACAGCCGAAGAAGCACTCGTCGAAAAGAGGATACAAAGCGATGGTCACTTCCTGCAGGTTTCTAACAACCTATGGGACCCGTTGTCTACGCGCTGGTCACCTTCACGCACTACATCCTCGAGGGTCGCCACGGAACATTTAATTCATTATTCAGGGGGATGAAAAATTCAAGAGAGGCCGAAAGAGAGTCCGCCGGCTCGACGCAATTTTCTTTTGTCGTCCACCATTTCCCCCTTTTCTCTGTCTTGCTCTCTCGAGGAATATAAAATTGTTTCATAATTATCGTATAATTCCTTCGATTCTTTCCTAGTAGTAGATTTTCCCTGCAAATAATGTTGAACTCTTTGTGCTTTGATTTCTGTTATATCTGTTTGACGTATAACGAGTCACATAGCAGGACTGTCGATGAAACTTTACAAACAAACGTAGCTAGGACTCTCTCGCTCTTCAACACATCTAAAATCATTTCCTTCTTTCCTCTTAGTCCGGTTAAAATCTTAAAGCCTCCTCCCGGGTACACCACCACTGTGTTCAATCCGTAAAACGAAATCCCTCACCGACATGACCTCGAGGTGGCGTGCGTGCGTGCGTGGTGGCGTGCGTACGTGCGTACGTGCGTCAAGCAGTAAACCGAGGGTGTTCCGGGACTCTGCTGCTAATGATAATCAGTCCTCTCTTTCCAGTAGCCCCTTTCGTCCCCCTCTTGTATTCCTCGTTGGTCGTGAGCACGCGGGCCATGTGCAATAAGGGTGCGGCACCGTCGGATTCCCAGGGGACCGGCATGGCGTAACGTAAAATCATTATTAGGTAGGTAGGTAGGTAGGTGGTTGCTGGTGCACACGAGGGGTGGCAAGAGAAACGCGGTAACTCGGTGGAGGCGCGTACGAGGCGAGCGAGGCGAGGCGGGAGGCTGAAGCGGCGCTTACGGGGTTGGCAAGTGCGGGAATAAGAGCTCTGCAAATATTGTTCGTGCGCGAGCCAGCAGCCGGAATAGCTAGGCGAGGGGTCGAGCACGAGCGTTACTTCGCGTTAACCTTCGCTGTTGGCTGTGCCTTTTCGGCTGCGTTCTGGCCTACCAGTCAGTCGAGTGCCCACGGTCCTCGGGGGTGGCAAAAGGGGTTGACGAGCCGAACAGTGCTCGGTGACAGACCGACAAGTGGTCACACACCAACCGCTTTCGATGAGAAAACATTCAACTTATCTATTTCTGATGAGCCTTTCGTGGCCGTGTGGCGTTCGGGAAAATATTGCTCTTCGAAGTTCGCGCCAAAGTGTGCGCTCGCGTGGCGTTGACGATTTGAACAAAAAAAAAAAAGAAAACTGAGACGCCCGCTGACGGAGCCTAACATTTGATATTTGGCAGCCGACGGTATCGTTCTGTTCAGTTTGTTTTCTCTGGGTGTAATTTGGGTGGATATTTTGTAGTGACAGTATGAGACGTTGCTTAAATTAATAATTGGTAAAAATAAGCAGAACGCGCTGTTTTTTCCTCCTAGAATTCATTTTATTTAAAAAGTATAGATGTTTCGTAATTAATTGCACATTTCATTAAAAATTGAAATAATATCGGTGTCTTTGCTTAAAGTAGAACTCCATTTATTTGACTTAAATTGTAATCAGTATCCAATTATAACACACAAATGTAACGAACCGTTGTATAAATCATTTCTTTGAACGTAAACTCGTATTGTAAGAACGAAAAGTCATTGTTTATGGGGAGAATCAGAGGGTATCGGGTTTTCTATTGCAATGTAATGCAATAGAAAATTTAACAAATTGCTCGAGAAGATTCGATTCGCTCGTCAGCGATCACATGGGTACAAAGTTCACGTACCAAGCGATGCTCGGTGATTACACGAAAATGTTATTATCGATCAAAACGCGCGTCTTTCTAGCATCGGGACAATAAAGTTTTAGGGGTGCATGCGCGCTTAAACACACATGCTTGCCACTACGATCGAACTAGCAACAGTGAATGTTTTCACAATAAACAGAACCTGTCCACCGACGGTGCGAAGTCGATATAGGGATGAAGATCGGGCCTAGGGTTGCCACACACCGTCTGTACATCTTTTCGATCTCATCACGTAGACCCAGCCTGTATAGGCTCGGTGTTTATGCTCGCTGAGATGCCGTGCACTCCAGTTGCAAAGAGACGGCCCTCGTTTTTCGAGGTTCAATCACGCTCGTCGTAAATCGTCGTCGATCCCCTCGTTCGCGATTTCCTCGGACGTTCGTACGGACGTTTCATCTCGATCGATACGAGGGAGTGGATTTCGATCAGACTGACATTCGATGCAACACGCCGCGAATAGAAGGCGAATATTTCCTCGAGCAAACGATGGGAATTAAGATTCAGTTCTGTTCTGTTGGTATTAGACGTACGATTAATAGAAATAGAGATAGAAAATGTTATTGTCGCAACAGCAAAGTATCTTCCCAAAAATAAAAAAAAAGAAAACAATATTCCCCAACATACTTTGTCCAAGGGGCATTCTTTCGAAATAAATTGGAGACGATGATAATTCCTGGTCAACGGAGATAAAGGACCACGATTCACGAGCGTACGCGGAGAGTTTTCGAGTTTGTGGTCGGAGGGACGGGGCCGGTAACTAAACGGGACAACTCTATAAACATGAAAGAGATACGGACGCGTTCCGCCGTCGTATTATGAATTTAGCGGTGGCTCTAATGTAGGGATACCTGGCCGAACGTCTCCCTCAAACTCACCTCGAGGGTGCGGTTATCGTATACCCGGCGAGATACAAGGCGTGCAACCTACCTACAGCCACCTTTGTGGCCGCCGTACGCCATACACTGCCTCTGCGCGACTCTATCTTCGTCCGTCCCACGCGATTCCTCCCTCTCCTTTCTATGTAGACGAGACAGGGCTATTAGAGGTTTCCGGCTGACTTGGCGCCCCAACAGGATCGGGGGCGCCGCAACATCCCTCTAAGCTGTTTAAACTTCGCGACATGCTCCGGGAGGACCGATGCTCTGGCCCCGCGCCTTTCGCTCCACCTTCCTCGTCTTTCGCCCCCGTTTTCGTCTTTACGGCTCGTTAGCGACCGCCGCCTATCCTCAACCACCCCCACCCCACCCCCCTCTCCCACCGAAATAATAGTTCACGTGCGACACGGCGGCCCTTGCATTTTTGAACTGGACTCTCCTCGAACGATCGAGTGTTGCAACTCGCGACGTTGGATGTAATTAAATTTTAGTGGAAACTCGTACGTATTTATCAGTTAAATTTATAAAAAATACCTACGATTCATTTATTTATTAATCGTCATGATTCAATATATATTTAAAACGAATAGAAAGTAGACGGAAGGTACATTTTCCAAATTTTTCCCGCGAATGAGTAAAAATTCGCCAATTGAGGGATCAATTTGGGAACAAAGTCTACTTTTATATATAAAAAGATTCTGCGGGATATTTAGTCGAGGAGAAAGAGAATTCGCGCAACGATTGATGGTCGAATGTTAGGAAAATTGACGCGCAGGACGGGAGATCTGTCAGCAACGATGGCTTGCCAGATCGCAGGAGTGAAAACCACCGTGGCAAGGGGTGTAAATAAATGGGAAGCCTGTTCGTTAGACTACGTGGCGTTACATTTAATGTCACGCCGGTGAGG